TCCACACAAAGGCAACTCAAAATAAAGGCAGGGCAAGTTAATTCTGAAAAAATCAGTCATTGAAAACCCTATAGAGCATAGTTCTATTCTGACACACATGTGGTCCTCATGAGTCAGAGTTGACAGGAACTATTGAAACATATTACCTGTAGTCTGTCTGGGAGTCTAAGAGCCAAGTGGATCATGAAGCACCTCTAAGAAGACAGTAAGGTAGGAGAAGAGACGGGAGAAAGCAACACACATTTGTTGAGTGCTTGTTGTGTACTGGGCACTTTACATGGGTTGTCATATATATTCCTTGCCACTATCCAGTGAGATGATGATTCCCCCCATTTACAGAGACATGAAGCAAGTTGAGAGAGTTCAAGTAACTTGTCTAGTGCCAGTTTGGCTACCAGATCTACCAGATGTAGGCTTACCCTACTGTTAAGACCACAGGCAGATTGAGAGTTCATAGTTCACTAGGCACAACTTCTTGAAAGGAACAGAGAAACTTTTTAAAGAGAAGAGAGAGAGAGAGAGAAAATGAGTATGAATGTGTTCTTGCATACTCCTGCTAAGTATTGGAGTTAGGATTACTATCCATGTCTACTTAATTCCAAAGCCCTCTTTCTTTTTTTGACTGTATCCCTGAGTCTAGCTCCATTTGTACCTTAATTTGAATGGTGATGGTTAATAGATAGAGATTAATGTCTTTGATGAGTCACTGTAGGTATAAGAGCAGTGAGCATGAGGGAAACTATAGGTTGTCTGACTCATTCTCCATTTCTATATCCTTCTTCCTTGCCTACCTCAACTCTTGAGGCCGTCAAGTATAGAAAATGAATTACCAGCGTCTCTATCTAGAAGTGTCCATGTGACACAGTTTTGGGTAATATGGTATAAGCACAGGTGTGGAGATTTCTGGCAAAACATTTGCTTTCCTGATCTAGGCACTCGGCCTTCTTGTTTCCACCTCTTTTCATGCCTGAAACACAGCCTGACAGCAGGTGGCTCAGCAGCCATTTAGGGACCATGTTGTGGGGACAGGAGGACGAAGACCTATGTGCTCAGGACAGCAGATTGGAAAGGTGAGAGGAACCTGATGGCCTCATTCAGATGCTGAACCAAGGCCAGGTGTTTACTCCCTGGACTTCTCTAAAGACACTGCTGTAGGGTTTTCTATTATTTACAGGGACCACCATCCTAATGGATATATATATAGTAAACTTTTTATATGAGAAATAAATTAAGATTACAATTATCAGTTTCTTATGAGAGTTTAAGACAGACTCTCTGTAGCATGAGAATTAGATATTATAAAGATATTAATATTTGAGGGTGTGTATACATGAATTTAGAGATCATATCTAGAACAGATTTGATACATTGAACACTAATGACCGAAGACCAGTTGAGTTGTGAAATGACATCAAGGACATCATACATAAGGAAAACAAAAGGTCATTAAAAAGAGGAAGGAAATAAAAGACAAAAATGGATATCAGAATAGACTCTGAAACTTACACTTGAACATAGACTGGCTAAAGCACATGGAAGACATGATGGATTAAAAGAGCTGAACAGAAGATTTCAAAGGGCATCTCAAGAAGACAGAGTAAAGTATTATAATGAAATGTGCAATGACCTGGAGTTAGAACACTAGACAGGAGAACACACTTGGCATTTCTCAAGCTGAAAGAACTAAAAAAATTCAAACCTCTAGTTGCAATATTGAAGGATTCTATGGGTAAAAAAATTGAATGGAGCATGAAGCATCAGAATATGGAAGGAATACACAGAGTCAATATACCAAATATAATTGGTTGATGTTAAGACTTTACAGGAAGTAGCACGTGATCAAGAGCCAGTGGTTCTGAGGAAAGAAGTTCAAGCTGCACTGAAGGCATTAGTGAAGACAAGGCTCTAGGAATTGACAGAATACCAATTGAAATGTTTCAGATGCAACACTGGAAGTGCTTAATTGTCTATGCCAAGAAATTTGGAACAGTTACCTGGACAACTGACTGGAAAGGATGTATATTTGTGCCCATTCTAAAGTAAGGTGATCCAACAGAATGCTGAAATTATTGTCAAATATCATTAATATCACACACAAGTAAAATTTTTCTGAAGATAATTCAAAAGCAGTTGCAGCAGTACATCAATAGGGAAGCTGGATTTAGAATAGGGATATCATTTCTGATGTTAGGTGGATCTTGGTGGAGAGCAGAGAATACCAGAAAGATGTTTCCCTTTGTTTCATTGAGTATGCAGAGATATTCGACTTAGTGGGTTATAACAAATTATGGATAACATTACGAAGAATGAGAATTCCAGAACACTTAATTGTGCTCATGCAGAATCTGTACATAGACCAAGAGGCAGTCGATAAAACAGTACAAGGGGATACCACGTGGTTTAAGATCAGGAAATGTGTTTGTCAGGGTTGTATCCTTTCCCTTTACTTAATCTGTATGCTGAGCAGATAATCCAAGAAGCTGGACTATATGAAGAAGAACGTGGCATCAGGGTTGGAGGAAGACTTGTTAACAACCTGCTGTATGCAGACGACACAACCATGCTTGCTGCAAGTGAAGAGGACGTGAAGCACTTACTGATGAAGATCAAAGACTACAGCGTTCATGTGGATTACACCTCAACATAAAGAAAACAGAAGTCCTCACAACTGGACCAATAAGCAACATCATGATAAATGGAGAAAAAATTCAAGATGTAAAGGCTTTCATTTTACTTGGATCCACAATCAATGCCCAGAAAGCAACACTCAAGAAATCAAATGATGTATTGCCTTGAGCAAATCTGCTGTAAAAGATCTCTTCAAAGTGTTCAAAAGCAAAGATGTCCCTTTGAGGACTAAGGTGCACCTGACCCAATCCATGGTGTTTTCAGTCGCCTGTTATGCATATGAAAGCTGGATAATGAGTAAGGAAGACTGAAGCATAATTGATACATTTGAATTATGGTGTAGGCCAAGAATATTGAATATACCCTGGACTGCTAGAAGAACAAACAAATCTGTCTTGGAAGAAGTACAGCCAGAATGCTCCTTTGAAGCAAGGATGGCAAGACTTTGTCTCATGAACTTTGGCCATGGTATCAGGAGAGACTAGTCCCTGAAGAAGGACATCATGCTTGGTAAAGTAGACGGTCAGTGAAAAAGAGGAGGACCCTCAACAAGATGGATTGACACAGTGGCTGCAACAATGGGCTCAAATATAGCAATGATTGTGAAGATGGCGCAGGACTAGGCAGTGTTTTGTTCTGTTGTGAGTTGGAACTGACGGGACAGCATCTAACAACAACTGCAACTAGATGGTTTACCACATATTGACTTTATACCATTAAAAATTGGTCATATCATCAGAGGCAGTAAGTGTGGATTGTGATTACAGGCACTCTGCTTCCAGGTATTGTGTTGAGGTAAAGCATAGAGGCAGGGTTCTGGGGACCTGCCTTCTGCATTTATAGCAGCGTCTTCTCCTGTCAGACATTAAGTTTCCTGGGCATTGCCTTTGTTCTTCTGGGTTGGGCAGCATCTGGGTTGCTTCTCCGTTTTAGAGAGCAACTAGTTGCCTCTGAGGTTCTGGAGCCCTGTACTGAAGCTCTCCAAGGTGGTCTTGATGAGGACCTAATATACCTCAGAGGCTTGGTTGTGGTAAGCCATGTATCAGCATTTGGAATATGGGATTTGCTGTCTTCATCCTTTCTCATTCTGTATAGGATTTTGATGTAGGAGATTAACTCATTATTGAAATCCACTCTACAAATAAATGAAAAAAAAAAAAAAAACCGTTGCCGTCGAGTCGATTCCAATTTATAGCGACCCTATAGAACAGAACTGCCACATAGAGTTTCCAAGGGGTGCCTGGTCGATTTGAACTGCTGACCTTTTGGTTAGGAGCTGTAGCAGGGTTTCCTCTCTCTAAATACTGGATAAAAATGTATGAGTATGTATGTTGAAAGAACTGGCAAAATACTGTGACAACCATTTAAATTTAGTATTCAAAAAAATTTCCATATCATTTCACAGTTATTTTGCTTACAGAAATGGTTTGTAAATTCTAAAATAGTGGGTATCAGGTATGTTCCTAAACTAAGCCTGTTCTTCAGTAATATACGACAGACACTGAACATTTTATTCTCTTCTATATATGTCTATTCATTTTTTTTTGTTAAAACAAAAATGTAATTTGCTCTTACATCTCTTAGAATGCTAACTCTGTGAGAATAGAAGTTTGAAAAATCCTTGAATTTTATGGGCACCAACTAATTTAAACTGATTTAGTGTCAGTCTGATTGTTTGCAACGAATAGTTCAATGATACACAAATACCTTTTCAAATCTATGAGGAAGGTCTAATTTTTGTGGCTTTATGTACATCTGTTCCAAAAGTCAATAGCGGTGAAAACATTTTGGTGTATAGTACTTGTCCATTATACCTGCTGTTAGGCATTTTATGAATTGTATGGTTAAAGCAATAAAGACGTTATTATCATTTTAAGCTAATAGCATTGAAGATCAATGTCTTATGCTGGGTTCTCTAGAGAAGCAAAACTAGTGAAGCGAATATATATACATATATATTGGATGCAGGCCGTACCCCCAAGGAAACTCCCTTTCAACTGATTGGCTGCTCATAGCAGATCTCAGCATGGAGGAGATTACATTATATCAGATGTCATCATGGAGGTGATTACATCATTACATAACTGCCAAACTACATCATAACTGCCAAACCACTGAAAACATGGCCCAACCAAGTTGACATTCAGCCTTAACCATCACAATCAACTGATGCAATTATACCATTAATTAAAAAGACAAAAAGACTTTTTCGCATTAAAACCTTTATTAACAGAAACTTCAATTATTTAAAGAGTATTTTCTTGCACAACAAATCAGAAATTGAAACACTAGTAATGATTTCTCATGTTCTAATTATCATTGGTGTCTGAGAGAGGGATCTGTGAACATTAGCTGAGACTTATACGATTATCTCAGCATCCTCTCGCAAGTTCTTTTATGGTACAACCTTGAAAACAACACTTGTTACTCAGTTGTATACCTTCCGTTCTTTTTTTTATGGAATGTCTGTCCAGGCCTAAGTTTTTTAATTCTGGACGGCTGTTGTCTTCTGTTTGACTTTGTCTTTTCTGGATGATTTTCACAAGTCCTTCATTTGCAGCCACCTTCTTTTGAAAATTAGGAGTGAATTCGGAGATCATATTTAAGGTTTTTGTGTCTTCATTGATGGAGGATGATACAGTGTCTGCAGAGTTAAAAAGTGGAGGAGAGAATATTCATGTCAAGGAGCATCAGAAAAATTACAGAATTTTTCATAAACGAAAAGGAAGGCATTGCCTCAATATAGCTGAATTTCAAAACAGAATCAGTAAAGTGTCCTCTGCCTATGCGTTTTAACTTATGATTTGACAGCTCAAAGCACTGTTACATTCCCAAGGTTTTACTTTACGCCATCCTGTGCCTCTGTGGTCTCTTCCTCTGACAGCCTTCACGCTTTTATCGTGGCAGTTTTGACTCTGCTGGATACTGGTCACTCATCTCTCTGAAGTTATCCTGGTCCTTGAAAACTCTCAGTGTGACCACAGATGGATTTTTCTTACTTGAATAATTTTCTTCCTTTGCTAAGCAACTTCTGAGTTATGATAGTAATGCTTTCAAAGTATATAAATTCTTTTAGGCTATCAAATGCTCCATGGAGGTAAGTTACTGCTCAGGATAAAGTTAAAAAAGCAGAATTCCCGGCTGCCCTGTCTGACAGGCAGGAGGCACAAACTTCTGAGATGCAAGACCTCAAACATCTGTTCAAGAATTTCTCTTCCCCACAATATTTCCTTCAAGTCAGTAGTACCTTACATTGAAGAGGGAAAAGGGTTAAAAGAACACTAACCTAAGCAAAAATGGCTGAGCTGAAAGAGCCATTGGTGTCCGTGTGCTGTGTGTACTGACTAATGAGCCATGTGTGGTGCTTGTCCAGTGCTGTGATGAGGCACTACACAAGGCCTGTGTGTCCCGAGCAGGGAACCTGTTCTCCAGCAGCATCCCAGGATGGGCAGAGTGGAGGCTGGAAAGCAGCCATAACCAGCTCTCCTTCATGCCTGTTAAGGTCAGTTGAACGTTCATCAACTGATGCCATGTCTCTGACGCTGCCAGACGTAAGAGAAACAAAAAGAAAACGTGTTTCCTGCCCTCAAGAAAACGTTCAGTCACGTAAACCTCCGCCTCATCTTTCCTATTGCAATTACACAATTTTGAGAGTTTTAACAGAAAAGAATTAGAAACACAGAAGAAGTTTACATTCTACTGTTACCTGAATCAATTCTGGCTGGTCTTTTTAATGGCAGCAAGCTGTACTTTTCAGCCTGTTAATGAGGCATTCGTCATCAAATAGTGGAAAAAACAAGGCTTTAAGATATAAATTTAAGTGATTCCAAATTCTTAATAACTAGCATAGTATTTTAAAAATAGTCGAGATTTGAGCTGTACTCATTCAACTCTGTGATCTCGCTTTTAAAGAAAATCCTTTGCAACTTCCAAAAGCTTGAAAGTGCCAAACGGTCTAGCTATGAGTGTCTGGGGGTGAACTTCCCTGGACTCTGTCCTTTGGGTTTCTCTTGTAGGCAGCTGGCCTCTTTCTTCCTCTTCCAGCCCCTCTCCTCCAGCTCACAAAGGTGGGAGGCAAGGCTCTCCCCTTTGATTTGGGTTTATAAAAAAGGTTTTGCTGTCATGGGCCACAGTGCAGCTTCTTTACAAATGAGGAGAGTATTTGACTCTAAGGTGTTTCCATGTCCACCTTATAGGACCCTGACCCAGGTATCACAGTGCCGCCCCCTTGCCCTTTGACCTGCATACGTCCTTGACAACCAGCTGACCACCTATGTCCTCCCTTACATCTCAGTGCGAGGTGCCCTCCCGGCTGCCCCCCTGTCCAGCAGCTGGCAGTCAGGCCTTGGCCACTTTAGGCAGCTTGAACTGCTGGGAACTTCCTCCTGTCCCCACACAACCCCCTGGCTGACAGGTGGTGAAGAGCACCTAGTGCCTATCAGGTAAGGCTTTCCAGCCCTCAGGGTAGATCCTAGGAGACCCTTCAATGAAAGCAGGTTACAGAGTCAAATCGAAATGTTCTAGGCACCAGAAGCAGCAGCACCAGCAGAGTTTAGGTGCTGAGCCTGGGCATCCAATGTGACCTGGGTCTGGGCGGGAGCTCTCACCTGATACCACTGGTGGTGTGTCCTCGTCGGGACCCTTTCCCCAGTTGATCTGGCCGCAGATTTCTATCCGTGCACGGGCTAATTCTCGGCCACATAGCTTCACAATGTTGGACCCGTGGGCGGAAAGCTCTCTGGGAAGCTGGTTCAGTAGCAGCCAGACTCCTAGCAGGTGCAAGAGCGGGTGCGGCATCCTGGACCTGTTTTTCAGCCTTTCCCTAGGGAAGATCTATCCTTGGCTGCAGACTGCTCTCCCTGCCTGGCTCCACCAAGCTTTTATAGCCCTTGGGCTCCCACTCAGACCTTGAGTCAAGCTCCCCAGCCCCACTCCTTTCCCCACCTCCTCCAGGGAATTTCCCCCCCCTGCTCCGGTCCACCCTCCCCACATTGCTTCTATTGGCCCACCCTTCTTCTGCATTTCATCCTTTCCTTTTCTTACCCTCAAACCATCTTGTATGCTCACATACTGTTAGTCATTATCTGAAGCCTTATATTTTTTATGTTTTATTTTTTGTTTTTGTTGAGAATATGCACAGGACAACATACACCAAATCAATTTCTACAGGTACAATTCAGTGATAATGATTACATTCTTCAAACTGTACGAGCATTCACACCCTCCTTTTTGAAGCCTTATTTTTATTAGCAGTGTGGAAACTGAAAACAAAATGGAGACGTGTCAAACCTGGAGAACATAGCCCGTGCTTGGTTTCACAGAATAAATGTTTAAGATAATAAATAACCTTACCTTTAGAGGTAATAACTAGAATGTTTCTTTAGATTTATGTGTAACCACTGTCTTGCGTCTTTAACCTCGCTAGCTATCTGAAAACTTGCCTATGCAGGCACTGACCCTCTGGAGAACTGCTTTGTCTGTCTTCTTAGCAAAAGTGACATTTCTAAAGAAAAGTGGACTTCAGGGGACATTTTGATGAATATCTGAAAGAGTGATCAAAACCACGTGGACTTCCCCAACATTCTTCGTTCCTCGAACTATAAAATCCCCAATACTGCCCCATTCTTAGGAACATTCAGTTTTATGCTGTGTGCTGCCCAATTCATGAATTGTATGATCAGGTAATAAATCTCTAGATTAACTTTGTTTCCACTGTTACATGTCCTTCAGCAGAAAGCAAGGCTTGAACAATACACTAAATTACATAAAATTAAAAGCACCCATATTTTCATAGTCTACTTTTTCCAAGTGATCCCTTGCTGTCTAACCTTGTAATCTAAACAAAAAGTTATAATTAGATTAATTAGTATACCAAAACCCAGATTCCCTGCCCTTGAGTTAATTCAGACTCATAGTGTGCCTATTGGGTTTCCAAGGCTGCAAATCTCTATGCAAGCTGCCACATCTTTCTCTCACAGAGCCATAGTTAGTATAGTGTCTGGTATATTGATACATAACAATAAAATGGGTGAATGGAAGAATCATTGACAAGAGTGAGAAAGCTATCATTTTTATTCGGAATCTTGGTTAAATTTGAATTTTTCCAGCAATATCACTTTAGGCCTGTACAATAATATTTTAAATTTGCAGCATGCTTTTCCATCCTTCATGGCAGGGGATGGGAATCTTAAGCTTAGATGGAATTCCAAGGGTCATCACTTAAATTTGCCCTCGAGACATCCTGACAAGGACTGAGGAAGCACATGAGCCTCTAGGGTTGCATGTTAATTCTTGGGAGAGCACCAGATTGGAAGGTCTTCTGACAGAGGTGGGAAATCAGACTCTACTACTTCCAAACAAATTATTTTCCTTTGACTGTTCTGGGAGATTGGTTGACTGTGAACGTTGATTTAAATATTTTAACTTCAGAATGTATTTTTTATCTGTTGACTCTGGAAAACACACACACACACACACACACACACACACACACACACACACGCACGAGACAAGATAAAATCAGTGGGCTCTTAAAATCCCAGAAGGAATTTGCGGATAACACACGTTCCTACAAACACACAAAAATCACATCTGTATGATGGAATGACTGTTTTCTGTTTGTTGCATTGGTAAGAGGAAATATTTAACACCTTCTACTTTAACTTTTTAAAAATTCAACACAGTTTTTGAGATAATATGTGACTCGACAGCACCTAACACCAACACCAGAGCTGTGGGACTAACGGTGGGTTTTCACTAAGGCAAGCAGTTGTTGAGAGGCTTCTGAAAATTCTAAGGATGGGAAGGTACTTCTATGGGTTTACCTTGGTGTCAAAAATAATCTTCTTGAATGGTTGTCCCCCAAAGTAATTGCTTATTTCAAATGCAAATTTTTGGAAAGGTTTTAATTTTTACTTTGCCTAGGTGATTTCATGTAGTTCTTGCAACTACAATATTCCGCACTTTACAGAGAGAGGACACAAGTTGAGAGCAGTCAAGTAACTTGTGTAGTGCACTTTGGTTAGCACATGTGCCAGATACGTCTTTCTAACTGCTTTATATCTTTTAGTCAGTTCTCATTATTTTCTCCCATCTGTCAACACCCAATCCTTAGGACATTCAGGGCTGCAATTCCATCATTTTGTTGGATTTGGATAAGGAGGAGAAGTAAACACTTCCTGAGTCAGACGTCAGTGCTGATTTCTGCACAGTGCTGATTCTGTGTCTCAGAGGTGCCCTTCGAACCTCTTTAGGCGCTTGTTCTGCTTTCACTGCAGGTTATCGAAGAAGGAAGGAAACAGCTTCAGAAATCCCTACGTTGGCAAACCTTTCTTTTTCCTCACCTCCTGTTTCTGCTTAAATAACAGAGTTATTTGCAGAGTACATGTGCTCAGGGCAAGCACAGAAAGAGTTATCCCATTAAATGGAAACTATGTGAACTGAGATCTTAGTTTTTGTTGTCCACTGAAGATGCATGCTTGCCATGTAGTATGAACTCACTAAATAGATAATTAACTTGCTGCAGTCTTGTTGATTTGACTCACGGAGACCTCATGTGTTATAAAGCACAACTATGCTCTGTAGGGTTTACAGTGTCTCTGATCTTTCAGAAGTTGATCACCAGGCCTTTCTTCTGAGGTGCCACTGGGTGAGTTTGAACTACTCATCTTTCAGTTAGTACCCAATTGCTTAATCGTTTGCACCCCCAGGTGACTCCCCAGTAAATGATTAGGGCCTTCAAACTTGCTAGTTGTATTAATCATCATTAGTGTCAATGTACTGTAAGGCCTAAAACTGACCTATAATGTTCAGTCATGAATTTAGAGTTTTAACAATCTTGGTTTATTTCTTCCTTATTGCCTTCAACATTAACCTTTCATTTTGCAAAAGACAACAGATGTGATATATAATTTGCATATATTTGACGAGATTAACAAGTCATTTTTATGTATTAACTTGTAGCTTGCTCATTTTGCCAATCCTGAAACATCTTTCCTAACTGTTCTCAAACAATTCCCAAGCACTTATTAGCATACCAGCAATGGCATTGTAAAGCTTTAGAAAAGCAGATAATTTTGTTGATATTCAAGAAGTATTGTTTCTATAACAGCTGATTCGAACAGAATTGGAAAGTGTCCTTCTTTTATAAAATTCAGTTTGCATATTTCCACTATTTTAGTTAATGTCAGTTGTCAAGCGTGACTGTATTTTTAAACAAAAGTAAGGTGGATCTCCTAAAGCATTTGGCAAAGAGAATCATTTGGAAATAAGCTAGTAGGTGGAAAAAATACTGATCAAATATTTAGTGCAAGTTGTGTGTATCTTTGTGATTACAAAGCTTTCTTCATCTATGATTTAGTGGTTTCTAATAAGTGATTCACTAATTTTTGATGAAGTGCTCTTCCTGGCCATCAAGTGCAGTTTGGTGTGCATAGAATATCTGTTCATTGAGTCGTGATTGTCTCATTTCATGCAGTGAATGAAGAGAACTTCTTCTCCTTCACTTCCTGAAATAGAGTCTATTATACCATATAACCAGCTGTTTTGAATGTCTAGGACCACTTCTCTAAAAAGATAAATGTTTTCTCTGAGGACCTTCTTCAGAAAAAAGACAGAAATTTTCTGTGAGCACCCTATTCCGAAGAGAGACAAATGTTTTCTCTGAATACCCCTTTTCCCTGTTCCCAGGTTCTTTTGTCCACACACACAGATACCTTCTGTTCTGGATTTTCCAGTTTGGCCCTGCTTTCAATTTATATTCTATTCAGTAAATATCATTCATTAAATAACTAAATGTTTATCTAAGTATTAGTTGACTTTATACCTTTTTGTGAAGGGTCATTTGAATGCACTATTCAAAAATGAAAGGTCTGTTATGTAATTTGGTGTTTGTTGTGTTAGGTGTCATAGAGTTGGTTCTGACTCATAGCAACACTATCTACAGCAGAAGGAAAAACTACCCAGTCCTGGCTCATCCTCAGAGTCTTTGATATGTTTTGAGCCTGCTGTTGAAGTCACTGTGTCAGTCCATCTCGTTGAGGCTCTTCCTCTCTTTCAGTGACAGTCTACTTCACCAGGCTATGTCGTCCTCAGAGACTCTCACCTCCTGATAATATGTCCAAAATATGTGAGACAAAGTCTTACCATCCTTGCTTCTAAGGAGGATTCTGGCTGTACTGCTTCCAACACAGATTTTTTCGTTCTTCTCGCGTATACAATCAATATTCTTCGCCAGCACGATAATTCAAATAAATCAATTCTTCTTTGGTCTTCCTTATTCATTGTCCAACTTTCACAAGCTTATGAGGTGATTGAAAATACCATGGCTTCTTTCAGGCACACCTTGGTCCTCAAGGTAACATTTTTGCTTTTGAGTACTTTAAAGAGGTCTTGAATTTTTTTTTTTCTTTTTCAGTTCTTTCAGCTTGAGAAATGCCTGATGTGTTCTTCCCTTTTGGTTTTCCAACTTCAAGTCTTTGCATATTTCATTGTAATACTTTACTTTGTCTTCACGAGCTCCCTTTTGAAATCTCTTCAGCTCTTTTACTTCATCATTTCTTCCATTTGCTTTAGCTACTCTATATTCTAGAGCAGGTTTCAGAGTTTCTTCTAACATCAATTTTGGTCTGTCTTTCTTGTTTTTTAATGACCTTTGCTTTCTTCATGTACGGTGTCATTCCACAACTCCTGTGGTCTTCTGTCATTAGTGTTCATTGCATCAAATCTGTTTTTGAGATTGTCTCTAAAATCTGGAGGGATATACTCAAGGTAGTACTTTTGCTCTCGTGCACTTGTTT